ATTGGTGCAATATGTAGTTTCATGATCTTCTGCTAGGAACATCATTGCGTATTTTTTTTGGTGGGTAAACATTTTCCTTTATGTGCTGTACTTGTTTTGCTTATCTGGTGGTTGTAAATTTGAATTTGTAATATCCCAACAACATTGATGCAATGTGGGTTACTCTGCACAGTTTTGAGTCTCTTTTGTATGCAGTAAAGCAATGTGATGGCTTTGCAAGTAGTTATGTCTGGAAGGGAGGGAGCTAGCCCTTGCCCTCCCGTATCTCATGGTTCTTATTACTGTGTGTTAAGCAAAGCTTAAAAAGGTCGTACATCATGCATAATGCACTACCTTTTTAAGCTCGAAGTGTGTGAGAGCACATGTTAACAAGTCCCATGTATATATATATATATATGTTTTGTTAAATGAGAAGCTTTGGTTGAGAGCTCATTGGCTTTATTTGGTGCGGCTTACAGGCCCCTTGCAAGTGTTATAATTTTTTTTTTTACTATGGTTTTAATTTTTTTCAATTTAATTTTTTAGAAATTAAATTTTTTTTAATTTTTTTTGTTTTTAGTGAATATTTTTAAAATTTTAAGTAATTTTTTCACTTTTTTAGATGTTTTTTATTTAGATGTATTTAAAAAATAAAATATTTGTAAAATAATTTTTTAAAAAATCAAGAAATATTCAAGAATACAAAAAATGTACTGAGTTTTTGTATTTTTTTTTGAAGGCAAATTTTATTTTATCCGTTTATGGTTTAGGTCATATGTGAATTATTCCCCTAACATTCGAATATCATTACATAATCCCCTTGTGGATGATCGAGTAAAGTGTACAGTTAATTTTTTCCCCTTGTGGATGATCGAGTAAAGTGTACAGTTAATTTTTTCATCTATTCTAACAGGTTGTGTAGTACACGCGACTAATGTGCAATTGGGTATGAAAATATAATTTTTCATTCAAATTAAATGATTAAAATGTCCTCATCTTCATCATCAATTTTCAAAGCAATCTTTCTTCTTCATTTTTCAAAATCCAGATCTGGAAACCTTTATCCAGAAAAGGGGGGAGTAAAATTACAAACTCAAGAGATCTAAATCGAACAGATTTGTTAATTCCTTTCTGCCAATATTCTTGTGTCAAACAATTACCTAAAATGAAAGGATGATTTTTTTAAAAAAATGAAGTTTTTCAAGTGGTAGTCTCCTCTATCAGAGAGATGAACAAAGCAAACAAAACGAAGAAAAAAATAGCTCTTTCAATGTTTCAATTTTAGCACAAACATTTTTATGGTTGAAAAGAAATCGATTAATCTAGAAAAATGACTGTATGAAGAAGAACACAAGTTTAAAATGAGTTTACCACAGATCTAAATCTCAGATCCAGATCCACCACATCTCAGATCCAAATCCCAAAGATTAAAAAATATTAAAAAAATCCAAACAATGATTCCACCAAGTTAGAAGTCCAAATGCAAAACACAAAATCCCATTACATCACAACCATATGAGAGAGAGAGAGAGAGAGAGAGTAGTGGTTACCAACTTAGAAGTCCAAATGCAAGTCATAAAATCCCATTACATTACAACCATATGTGTGAGAGAGAGAGAGAGAGAGAGAGAGAGAGAGTGGTGAGGATGGCCTTGTATTTCCGGTGCCGACACGGTGATTCAGTGCCGTCGGAGCCTCGTTGTAGGCAGTGGTGGTGGTCAGATCGATAGATCAGCGGCAATGGAGGTCACAAACAGCGGTGACGGAGGGCGGCGATCGCAGATGATAATGAGAATTAGTGTCTGAATTCGAATAGATGATGATGAAGAAACAGTATCTGAATTCGCAGATTTGTATATAATATTTGTGTGTTAATTTAATTGGTTTGTTTGATTAATGAATTGATTAATTAATTGGTTTGTTTCAAATTACACCACTGCACATATATATGTATATATACATATATATTGGCAGAAATAATCTCACAATTTATTGTGTAATACTCACTAAATTCTAACTGAGAAAAAAAAGTGAATAATTGGTTTGAACTTTAAACTTGAAGGCAAATTGAACATTAATTAATTTTTGATAAAAATTATGTTGTTTAAATTAATTTGTTAAATCAAAACCCTAATTTCAAATATTGAAACCCTAAGTTCTCTCTTACTCTTCTCAAATGCACAACTGTTGAATGAGAAATGCTGATCAAATGTTATATATACAAGGGCAAAATAGTATTTTTATTTTTGATGTTAACGGTGTTAATTGCGCACTTTATTCCATCAATCATAAGCGGGGTTATGTGGTGATATTCGAATATCAGAAGGGTAATTTGCACATGGCCTAAACCATAAGGGGTAAAGTGAAGTTTGCTCTTTTTTTAATATTCTTGGTATTTAGTGAATTTTTAAAATTTTTTTTTTATAAATATTATACTTGTTATGTGTGTTTATGTTAGGTGTATTTAAATTTTTTTTTTTTTGTGCTTAGAATATTAAAAAAATTCAATGAAAATAAAAAAACACAGAAAATAAAAAAATTTAATTTTTAAAAAAGTGAATCTTGAAAATTTAAACTAAAAAAGCTCTTTTTTTTTTTTTTTTTTTTTGGGAGTGTTTTTAAGTGTTTGGAGCAAATTGATGTTAACGGTGTTAACTGCCTCCATCAATCATAAGGGAGGTTATGTGTTGATATTCGAATATCAGGAGGGTAATTCGCACATGGCCTAAACTATAAGGGGTAAAATGAAATTTGTCCTTTTTTTTTAATATTCTTGGTATTTAGTGAATTTTTTTAAATTTTTTTTACAAATATTATACTTGTTATGTATATTTATGTTAGGTATATTTAAAAATTAATTTTTTTTTTGTGCTTAGAATATTAAAAAAATTCAATGAAAATAAAAAAACACAGAAAATAAAAAAATTTAATTTTTAAAAAAGTGAATCTTGAAAATTTAAACTAAACAAGCTTTTTTTTTTTTTTTTTTTTTTGGGAGTGTTTTTAAGTGTTTGGAGCAAATTTTGCTCACAATTTGAGGCAAAAATAGCATAAATGAGTTGGAATTTGTTTTTGCTTATTGGGAAGTTGATAGAGGCCGGAGGTGTGGTTTTTGTTATTTGATTATTAATTTTTAGTTTGTAAAAAGTAGTACCAAACAGACTCATTATTTGTATCTGAAGTGTTTTGTTTTTGGCTCAAGAATGTTGATTTATATGGCCGTGATTCTATGCGAAATGTTGAGATTATTTTAGGTTTAAGATTGTTTTATACCTTTATTTTTTTTTTTTTTTGTGACAATTTATAGATTGCTTTACACTGTCGACATTGTAACAGGTACAAAAGTTGCAACCAACACAAGGCACAATACGAATCCATCTAGCTATTTTCATGAATAAATCAATTTTAAAAGTTTATGGATTTAATGGTTCGTTTGTTTCGACGGAAAATATTTTTTTTAAAAATATTTTTTATATTTTCTAATGTTTGATACGATGGATAACAACAGTTAATGAAAAATATTTTCAATAGTCAATAGAAAATAAGTCTATTTGGGTGAAAAATGTTTTTTATTTTTAAAAGGCGAAAAACGTTTTCTAAATTAATTTTTTATTAACGCCCCAACATTGCCACTGCCACCATCACCTTCACCATCATGACAACCATCACAATAGTTGCCACCGCCATCACCTCCACCGCTATCACAACACTACTACCACCACCACAACACTACTACCACTTCGTGAAAAATGTTTTTTATTTTTAAAAGCCGGAAAACGTTTTCTAAATTAATTTTTTATTAACGCCCCAACATTGCCACTGCCATCATCACCTTCACCATCACGACAACCATCACAATAGTTGCCACCGCCATCGCCTCCACCGCTATCACAACACTACTACCATCACCACTACTTCCACACTATTATTATCACCACCACCACCATCACCGTTGTTGTCGCCACCGCCTCCACCACCACCACAACACTACTACCACTTCCACACTACCACAACTACCGCCACTGTTGCCACCACCCCCATCCCCACACCTCCATCTCTATCTCTACCACCACCTCTTCTACCCCACCTCCAACACTACTGTCACCACTAATGCACTACTACTAGTAGTGCATCAATTTCAAGAACGCAACCAAGCATAAAAAAATAGTTTTTATAGAAAACATTTTTTGAAAAACAATTTTTGTAGGAAATGATTTTCATTGAAAAATGTTTTCTGTCGAAGCAAACAGAACGTAAAAGTAATTTTTAAATTCGTTGTAAATCTATTGTTGCATGAATGGATGGATTCGTGCTCTAAAAATTCAAGTTTGTGAACATTAAAAAATGGGAGAATGTGAATTTGAGCATGGAAGTAGTTTTACTATTTTTTGAAAGTATTTATTTATTTTTTTTTGTGGCAAAATATGTAATAGGTTGATGCTTAGATTTACAGTTTAATCAAGATCCAAAACAAGTAATTATCTAGTATTTTTGGAATATTATTTTGGTTATTTATTGTACAAGGTTGTGGGAGACAAAAAATAAAGAGTTTCATTCCGAGCAGAAAATGTGTAGAATCCAAGCAGGATACACTATGACGATTAGAATAGCAGGACTAGAGGTCTAGGACTAGAAATTAGAATAGTAGGACTAGAGGTCTAGGACTAGAAGAGTCCAAGAGACCAGGACTAGAGATCCAGGTCCAGACATGCAGGTCCAAGACTAGAAGAGCAGGTCCAAAGGTCCAGGACCAGAAGAGTCCAGGGAACCAGGACCAGAGATCTAGGTCTAGACATGCAAGTCTAGAATTAGAGGACCAGAGGAGACCAAGGGACTAGAACCAGGGGTCTGGGTCTAGACATACGGGTGCAAGACTAGAGGTGTAGGACCAGAAGACCAGGTCTAGAGGTCCACGAATCCAGGCCAAAAGGCCAGGTCCAGAAGGCATGGCCCTCAATGGCAGATTTGGTCAAAGCGTGGTCCTTACTTTAAGGGCCAACTACTCCTAGAAATCTATGATAATGAAACATGATTCCACAAAAAGTGAGTTGAACGTGAAGAATGGTAGGGGAAGTGGAACTAACTCCAACAACTATATTGGATACTATATAAAGCCATACCAAAGTGAGAAAAAAGGTACACAATTAATTAATACTACTTTGGGCTGCTCCTATACTTATAATTTCTTAGTCCATAACTTTCAAGTTTATTAACTTAAGTATTGGAGAGTTCCTTGGCTGTCCACCAGTCGAGTTCTTTATATTTTCTTAAGTGTTTCTGGTGAGATTCAACCGTGTTCTTGCCGGAGTGTTGCCGCAATTAAGCTGGTACAATTTTTACCCACCACTGAGGTAATTGTGTACCCATGATACCAGCGAAATAGCCCATCAAATAAAGCCCATTAAATAACTTCATTAGGATAAGACATTCATCAATACAAAGGAGATACAACAATGATTCATCTACACAAATTTTCTCTCTCTAATCTGACTATTATCGATAAGAGTCTTGTCTTTTACCAGTAAAAGTCTCATTGAGGAGATTCAAAAGAAAAAATTATGTGAATAAATCATTAATTAGAGGAGATATTCTTTGAAAGACAAGTCTGCCTCAGCTATGCCCCCAAAAAACACTTTACGTGAATTAATTTTATATTCACACATTTATTAAATCAAACTAATAATAAAGGGTTATGCCTGTGTTTACAGAGTCCTACCTTTCAAGGCTCAAATCCACAGTTTGACTGAGAGGGTGACCTTGACCCTCGACCCTTTAGGACCGGAATTCAAAGGGATTTTCATGCCGTTCAATTCAAACTTTAGAAAGTATTTTGAGAACTACTTGTTTTAGTTATTTTAACATTTTATGTAAAGATAAGTGAAAAAATAAAAAGAATAATTAATTTTTAAATATTGATTTTTTAATTTTTTTAATTAATTTAGATGGTTCTCAGTTAGCCTTCTCTCTCTCTCAAACACACTACCACCACCACCCACTAGCTACCATGTGTATTATAGAATGACTACGACATAAAGATTTAAAAATAGAGAATCATGTACCATGACTTGTGTTACCTAAAAGAAGCAAACTTATATATATATATATATATATATTATATTTAAGAATTTAAGATATTTCAAGAGTAATTTTCTTTTAGTTATTAGGCATCTAATGAAATTTATGTTTTTTTTTTTCCTTTCATGTAGCAAAACATTTCTATGAGTATTATGACTTATTTTTTGTGTTTTGTCTTGTCAAAATTTAACTTACATAAGAAAAGAATTTGAATTACGTAAAACATAAGTAGGTGAAGAGTGATTTATGAATAAATGCTCCTAAATTTTATTTATTTATTTATAGTATTGTTCTTTAATTTGGCATTGTTTTGCCTTCATTTTGAAATTTCACTATTTAACAGACAGTGAAATTTCTTTTTGGGTGAATTAAAAAAAAAAAAAAAATGAAGGCAAAACAATGAAATTTCATTAACACGTATACAATGAAATTTCATTGTTTGAAAACAACAAACATTCGTCAAGTTTGTTTTTTTCTTCAAAATTTTATATTTAACATAAGTCTTGTTTACTGAATCTCAATAAAAGAAATTTAAAATTACATTTCTTTTAAAAAACGGGCAACTTAATAAAAAATTATAACAATTTAAGTTTGAAAATCCTATAGAGTAAATGGGGATATTTTGATAATCGCATTGTGCATAAATCACGTCTTGCCTTTCTTAAGCAAAACTTATTGACATTTCCTTTTCTCACGAAAAAATTATTGTAAGGACTTATCAGGCTTTGAACAAAGTAAATATAATATATATTTTTTTGGAGAAAATTATAACTATCTCGCTTAAGTTTCTGACAATTGTAAAACTCTTTGTAGTTTTTTTTTTTTTCAAAAATAATTTCTAATAATTTTTTAAAATTACATTGATCTCCCTTGATGCCAAACTCTCACATTTTGTTGACACCATGAAGACTATTGGACTCTGTATTAGGCCCAACTAATGCCCATCACCATAGAGAAAGATGCAGTATGTGATATGTGAAAATGGCCCAATAGAAATCAACTGGTTTTCATATGCAATTTGATAGCTCAAGATTTGGGCCAAATGATATCATATTGGTCTGGTTCCAGTCAGATACCTTTCATAATTTGTTGACTATGATGATTCACCGTTTAGGATTTGACCTTTTTACTATTTTTTTTCACAAAAATGTATAAAAAACTAAATTAATATTTTAATTTTTTTATTAAAATATTTTCTTCCCAAACACTCCAAATTTGTATAAAAGATGTCAATCTTTATTTCATTAATTACCTTACCTTCCTTGCTAAGGGTCAAATCCATAGTTTGACTGAGAGACCTAGGCCTGTTTTGTAAAATATGTTAAAAGTTAGTTTTTTTTTTTTTTTTTTTAATAAATTTTTTTTTTATTTTTTTTTAAAAAAAAAAAAAAAAAAAAAAAGGGATGGAAGTTAGTAGTCTATTTTTTTCATTACCGCCTAACATGTCAAAATTTTTCCTCCAAAATTAGTGACAAAATAATTTCCTCACTAAAAAGCCTCAAAATATTAAAAATTATTAGTGACAAAAATATATTTCTCACCAAATGGTCTTAAAAAATTTAAAATCAAGTTTCTCAAAAAATATATATATATACAATTATTTGTGATGAAAATATATTTCTCACTAATAATTTTATAATTGGTGACAAAAAATTTTCTCACCGAAAGTCACAAAATTTTGACGCCACAAAAAAAAAAAAAAAAAATTAGTGGGAAAATCTTCGGTGACGAAATTTAATCTTTCCTCACCTAAAAAGAAGTATTTGTTGACGAAAATAAATTCCGTCATCTATTATTTTTATTTTTTTATTATATGTGACAAGATTTTATAATTCGTCACGAATTATTCTTATTTAGTGACGAAATTTATTTTCTTCATTACTTTTCGTCACCATAGGTTACTTTTGTTGTAGATTGGTGTCATGACAAAAGAGAACTTCTACTTGTTTATGAGTTCATGGAAAATGGAAGCTTAGATTACCATCTCTTCAAAGAAAAAAGCTTGTTGACATGGGCAATGAGATACAAAATTGCTCAAGGCCTAGCTTCGACATTGCTCTATTTACATGAAGAATGGGAACAATGTGTGGTGCACAGGGATGTAAACATGTTGGATTCTAATTTCAATGCCAAACTTGGGGATTTTGGATTAGCTAGACTTGTCGATCATGGAAAAGACTCTCAAACAACTATTTTGACGGGGACTAGGGGCTACATAGCACCAGAATGCGTAATCACAGGAAAAGCGAATAAGGAATCAGATGTTTACAGTTTTAGAGTTGTGGCATTGGAGATAGCTTGTCGAAGAAAACCTATCGATTTGGGTGTTTCAGAAAGTCAGATGAGAATGATAGAGTGGGTTTAGGACCTCTATGGTACCAACAGGGTTCTTGAAGATGCATTAGATCCAAAGATATGCCCAACTTGAAATGGGAAGGGCCAAAATGGGTAAAAATAAGTAATAAGGGTCAAAGTAAAAAAGTGACTAAATATAAAATGGACAAAGTGTAATTTATCCATATATATATATATATACTAGCAATTAGTATATACGTGATGTGTATGTAAATACATATAATTAAAAAAATAAGAAAACAAATAGTTAAAATTTTAAAAATCAATAAAGTGACAATTTTTAAACTATCATAGATATTTTCGAAATAAAAAACTTGTGACGTGTATACCATTTCCAAACTTTAATGATGAGGTGGATCGACGTCCATCCACCCATTTCTTATCTTGATCAAAGAGGTACATATACCAAGGTTCATGGAACTCGATCCACCCAATGCCATCCTTCTATTGGCTATATATATCTACAAAAATGTTTCACCCCCCTTTTCCCCACCCTTTTGGGCCCTCTCTTACACTTATTGGCTACATTTTTTTTTTTACTCATCCAATTACTACCCGTCACGTGTGTGGGTGGTGATTAGAAGGGTCTCTATCATGGCTCATACATCTATATTATTGTATAAAATTCTCGTTTGGCAGGACTTTTTTAAGGTTTGGGTTAATTTAGTTACAAAGTATAAAATAAGATAAAATATTGTATTTAAAATCATTATTATTACACTTTTCTTTCATAAAAATAAAAAAAAGTTAAAAAATTTAACCTAAACAAAATTTTTAATCTCAAACTAATCTAAAAAAAAAAAAAAAAGTCAATCAACTTTGTAAACAAACCCAAAGCCCTAACCATTTGAAATTTTGTCACAGTTAGCAAGTTTAAAACAGTTAAATAAAAAGATATGGGTCCAGTTTGTCCATATTTAAGATCAAGATTGGATCATCCACTTCAATCCATGTGCCTATTTTTGGGATTCATTTCGATAATCTGAACTGTTTAATATATAAAACTCATCGAGTATTATATTCTTGTACAAAATTATGTTGATCTGATATCGATAGCTATTTGATCGGATCAGATTTCTGTCAATCGTTTATTTTTTTACCGTCTACTTTTTTAATACAAATCTGATCCGATCAAATAGCTATCTATATCCGATTAATATGATATTTTATGAGAATATATAACTCGACGGATTCTACATATTGATCGGTTAAAATTATCGAAAAGAAATCCAAAAAAAATCCATGGTCTAGACTGGACTGGACGGCCCAATCTTGATTGATCTCTTTTATATTTACCTGTTTTAAACTTGGTAGCTTTTATGATTGATCCAACTGATCATAATGTAATGGAAAACAAACCACCCAAGTAGAAGAAGAGCAAGACAACGAAGATGACACCCAAAAAGAAGCAACATAGGCCAACGCACACATTCTCACCGCCGCTGCCATGACCGCTGTTCTCTGGCCTCACACGCCAATGACGCCGATGACCGGGTCTCCGTGGTTTGAGAGCCTTGTCTATTCCTTTGTCTCTATTCATTTCTTTCTTATGAGAATCAAAAGAGAAAGAGAGAGAGAGGCCTTGTTATGTGTTTGGTTATATGAATGGAGTTTGGAGAGTTGAGCTAATTGTGTTTATTAACCATATTTGTTAATAATTTTTTATTTTTCTTTTGTCTTTTTGATAGTTGAGCTAATTGTGTTTATTAACCATATTTGTTAATAATTTTTTATTTTTCTTTTGTCTTTTTGATTTTAAATTTGAATTTCAAACTTGTGGTTGGTGGTTTCGCAGCAAGATCAGAGCAATTTCGCAGCAAGATCAGAGCAATTTCGCAGAAGAATGTTTGGTGTTTCTGAGAACGGCAGCGCTAGGGGAAAGCCTCGACAATTCTTTTTTTTTTTTTTTTGGGCTGTGCTTTTTTATTTTTTATTTGTAGGGCTTTGTTGGTTTGGTTGTTTTTTGTTTTTTGGAAGGATAGGGTGGATATTTCGCACCAACTCAGCTTGGTTGGATTACTTAAGTAATAAAATTGACTAATCAGTTATGTTCCTGGTGAAAATTTATTAATTTTATATAATTTTATATGAGTCTCTGTTATATTTTTATTCCTAATTGATTAATCAATTTTATCATTTAATCAGTTTAACCCAACTCATTCCCATTATCAAATCACACAGGGCTAATTTTTTGACACACTCTTACCCATAATCATCCTTCAAAAAAAGAAAAAAAAACCAACACAACCCAACCCAACAAATAAACAAATAAAAAAAAACATAACCCAACAAAAAGAAAAGAAAAAAAAATAAGAAGAAGAAAAATAACCAAACCAACACAGCCCCCCCCCCTCCAAAAAAGAAGAAGAAAAGGAATTGGAGGCATTTGAGCCTCAACCATTCGAGGCTCCAAATGTTTCCCTTCTGAGAAATGTCGCTATGATCTTGGTAGTTTTTATTTTTTGGCGGTTTTTTGTTACGCCTAGTACTATGTAGTTTTGTTAAAATTTCAAAAATGTTATGTAAAAATAAAATTGTGTCTTGAATTTTATTTATAAAATGAGGTGGATGGAGCGTTGGTGGAACGGATATAAGATTATCACTATCAAAGTGTGAAAATATGTTTGGAAGTGTAAATCTTTATATGATATTTTTAAAATTTTTGAAGGTGCGGTCGTCCCGCTTCGCTAAATCCATCCTTGGGTGGGATGCAGGGAAGGCTGGCCCAAGGTAATGTGAGGCCTAAGGCGACACCTCTAAGTTGAGGCCTATTGATGGATTCATGCTAAAATTAAAATAAATTAATAATTTTTTGAATAAATTACACTTACACTCCTTGATGTTTGAATTTTATATATATTACCCTTTGACGTTTGAAAAATTACACTAACCCTCATGTCATTATAATTATTTAGATGGAATTAACGTTGATATTAAAAAGATATTAAATTCACACACTCTCTTTTTTCTTATTTTGCTTTACTTTTTTTTTGTTTTTGTTTTTTTTTCCCTTCCTTCCTTTCTTTCTTTCTTTCTTTCTTTCCTTTGCTTTATTATTATTTTTTCAATGTAATTTCTTTTGTTTTTTCTACCAGGAGTTGTTGCCTTTTATATAAGTAAAAGGTTTGTGAAATGAGACTATTAATTATAAAGGTGAGAATGTAATTTCTATAACGTTAGGGATGAGATGTAATCAGACCAAACCTTAGGGGGTTTCAGTGTAATTTACCCTAAATTTTTACATTGACAACCAAACTTGGATCCATAAAAATTGAAAAGCAAAATTATTTTCCCCTAGATTATAAACATCACAAGCAAATTAAACTACAAAAGATAGCTAAAAAAAATAATTTTTTTCCTCAGTAGTTAATATTACTAATTAAACCTTTTTTTAAAATTAATCAGTAGAAGAGTAATTACAAATATGACAAGTATTATATTAAACAGATCACTAGCCCAACAATAACTAAAAGCCAACAATCACTAAACCCAAACTTGAGAAAAAATAAACAATTATTACAACTGTTATTCCAGGTAGGTAACCTAAGACGGGGTGAATTGAGTTAGTAAAAATAATTTCACAATATTAAAAATAATAATCAAAATATTTGAATTTTAACAAATAAAACAACAAAGTAATAATAATCTCTAAATAAATTGTCAAATTAAAATTTAACCCAAATAATAAATAAATAATTATGCTCAACAAACTCATTAAATAGAATTCGACATTTCAAGTTCGCTACGAATAAAATCGAAGTGATGCTCGCTAAGGGGTTTTGTGAAAATATCCTCCAATTGTTTGTTAGTATTTACAAATTCAATAATAATATCCCTTTTTTGAACATAATCTCTTAAAAAATGATGCTGAATTTCAAATGTTTTGTTCGTGAATGTTGAATTGGATTTTTGCTTAAGTTGATGGCACTAGTGTTATCACATTTAATGGGAATATGCAACATAATTTTACTTTTTGCTAAACAAAGATACTAGTGAGTTATCAAGAAAATGACAAGTACCGTTGGTGGTTTTTCTATCAAGTTTGCACCCAGCAAAATCGGCATCCGAGTAACCAATCATGTCAAAAGCTACACTTCTACGATAAAACAAGCCAATTTAGGTGTGCTGGCAAGATACCAAAAAATCCATTTAACGGCGGTAAGATGAGATTCTTTTGGACATGATTGATATCATGCACACATGCATACACTAAACATAATATCGGTTCTACTAGCGGTTAAATAAAGAAGTGAGCTGATCATACCTCGATATTTTGTTTGATCAACGAACTTACCCTTTTCATCTTTGTCCAGTTTAATAGATGTGCTCATGGGTGTTCCTATTTGTAACAACCTTGACCTATGATTAGCCTATAATCCATGATTAAGAATGCCTAATAAGTAATTAAGACTAAATTCTGAGCTAATTGCATGCGTATTGTGTTATTTGTGTTTATATCTGTCTGACGTAGGAACATCTATTTGAATTTCTATTTCGATATGCGAATTGAAGACCTCATCGGCATCCGAACACGGAATTGACTCCGTTTATTTATTATTTAGAATTTTTAGAATTTTATGGTAGGTTTAATTGGATTTCGCTTCGGAACCAAATAATTAGAATAAATTAGATTAAATTAAGTTAAGCCAAGCTTAATTAAGTCCACTAATCAAGCCAATATAAGGCTTATACACACACCAGAGCTTTTCTTGTTCATCATTTCTTGAGGAGAAAAACGCAAAAGAGGGAGAGTTAGAGTAAGAGGATTGAATTCAAGAAAGAAAGGAGGAATTGCTAGAGAATTAAAGGAAAATTGGAGAAATTGAGCAAGAACTCACTAGAATTCAAATAATTGAGAGCCTTAGGTAAGAAACTCAATCTTTAAGCTTTGTGTTTGACTCTTTCATGCATGAATTCAAGAGAAGTAAGTAGATTAACATGAGAATTAAGTTAAGATTGGAGAATTATAACTCAATTCCTACATGCATGCATATTTCTTAGCATTTTGGGTTGTTTTCAAAAGAATTCCCACATGCATGGTCTTATCTTGGTTTTGTTATAAGAATTCAACTTGTTTTTGAGCTAAATATCTTATTTGATCATGTTTTAAAAGGTTTGAGTTCATAACAAGTCATGCATGTTATGCTTTCAAAATTACAAGTTTGACTTTGAACAATTCACATACCTTTGGATTTTGATTTTGTGAAATGATCTTCAATTCATAGTGTTTTACAAGTTTAGACATGTTTTCTCAAGTTTTGGCCCCAAAGGATGTGTTTTGAAGCTTTGAATTTGAGTTTGGAAGCTGGGAGTGCAATTTGGAAATTCCAGAATTCTCACTCTTTGCTCGAGCGGTAAAGTCTACGCTCGAGCGAAGAATACGAGCTACCAGTACTTTTGCGGAGTTTGAGGGTTGGCTCGAGTAGCAGAATTTGCGCTCTAGCGACCACCCTTATTTTTGATCCTCAGCTCGAGCGACTGAAGTTGCGCTCGAGCGTAAATGAGAGCTCCCAAAAATTTTACAGAATTTTGTAGACCGCTCGAGCGTAGGAAATTGCACTAGAGCTAAGACCCTGTTTACTTAGTCTTTGGCTCGAGCGATTGTTGAACGACCGTCGAGTATAAAAATCATGCAACTAGTACTTTTGTAGACCTTACAGACCGCTCGAGCGACCGAAGTTGCACTCGAGCGAACTGCCCTATTTTTAGAAATTTGACTTAGTGTTTCGAGTTACATTTTGGCATCCTTATTGCATCCTAGGCATTCTTAAGACTTAATTAAGACATAATAAAGAGGATAAGGATTAGAAACACACCAAAATAGAATAGAAATGAGTTATGTGTTTTCTGAGCGTGTGTTTCAATATGTATCCGTTATGTGTTTGTATAGGTCACGCGCCGTAGTACGGCTGATCTGTCTGCTCTGTTTGTTCTGCCACTGGAGCAATTTGTGAGTAATAACTTTGTAAAGCTATGTTTAACTTTAATTATTTTCTGAATGATATGAAATGATCTGTTTTCTGAAATGCTATTTTTTGTATAAATGAATGATTGTTCAAATTTCTGAAATGTATTCGTGGTATCTTTAGCATTATGTGATATCTGTTATCTGCTCTATTTACGTCTCATGTAATCATAAGTCAACTGTACGTCCCATGTGATCATGGGTCAGTTGTTATGGATCCTTATGAACGTCTCTGTGCACATGAGTTAACTGTTTACGTCCCATATAAATGAGTCAACTATTCTGTTAGTGCTAATGGATGTGCCACGTATGAATATCTGTGAACTCTGAATATGAATATGAATTTGTTTCTAAATCTGAATTCTGAGTACTAGATCTGTTATGGACAATATTCACTAAAACCTTTACTCTGTTATTATTCATTAGGCTCTAGCTTATTGTAGTATTTACGTATATAAGTGATCATGCTTGTGATCAGGCCTAAGCTGCTGCCTAGATTTGTTTTGTTAGCCAACCATAGCGCCTCCTGAGGAGGTTCCCAAGTTAAAGTGTGGTCATATTCTGTTAACAAGTTTTAAGTTTTTGTTTTCTTCTGTTTGTTTGAACAAATTTTTGTATACTCTGTATATAGGGCTAAGCCCCTTTTTGACTATATCTGAAATGATGACGTAAGACCAATATGGATATTAACGTCATAGATATGTATATAAGTTTTATATTTTCTATCCAATGTATGTCTACATAGCTCTATGGACGTTATATGTTATATTTGCTTCTGCTAGCCCATTACTTTTACTTAATCTGTTTAGAGGCCTTTGATAATCCCCGAATTACTGGCCGATTACGATGCTAAACCTATAGGGGTGGGTTTGGGTCGTGACACTATTACCTTTGATTTCTCCATACCAAACTTTTTAAGTAGTTCCTTTTTGTACTTTGTTTGGTTGATATTAATTCCTTCCTTAACTTGCTTGATTTGAAGCCCATGGAAATAATTGAGTTCTCCTATCATGCTCATTTCAAATTCACCTTTCATAACTTTAGCAAATTCCTTGTACAAAGATTCATTAGTAGCTCCAAATATTATATCATCAACATAAATTTGCACAAGTAAAATATTATG